AAAATCATTAATTTTTATACAATTACAATAATAATAAAAGTAATAAACATATTTTTAATTTTTTTTTAATAAAAAATGAGTTTTTTTAAATAAAAATAATTTATTTTATGAATTTTAGGTTTAACAAAAATAAAGATAAAAAAAAGAAAAAAGAAAAAAATAGAGAGGGAAGAAAATAAAGGATGAGAGAGAAATAGAAAGAGAGAGAGAGAGAGAGAGAGAGAGAAACGGGTGAAATAAAAAAGAGGGAAAGTGAATCAGCAAAGGGGGAAAGTCAAATGAGAGAGAGAGAGCATACATCGAAGCAAAGGGAGGAGAAGAAGAAGGAGAAGAAGATGGAGACAGAAGACAAAGAGGACGAGGCGAAGAAGAAGATAGCAGACGAATACCTCAGCTTCTTCAGTTGATGTGAATAGGTTAGGGCTCCTCTCCTCTCCTCCCTCGCTCTCTTTCTCTGTCTCCTCTCCTCTCCTCCCTCGATCTCTATCTTCTCTCCTCTCTTGATCTCTTTCTCTGTCTCTATTTCTCTTTCCTTGCTCCTCTCCTCCCTCGACCTCTTTCTGTCGTTCTCTCTTTCTCTCCAATAGTTAGGGCTTTGATCCACCTCAGACGTGTTCGGAAAGTGTCACAGCATGTCCATGGCGTCTCCAACTGCAAAAATTCAAAAAAAAAAAAGAGGACACGTTAGAGAGATGTTTGTGTCCAATACGTGTCCGACACTCGTACGTAGGCCCTAGGAACGTGTCAGTGCTTCATAGATTTTCTGTAAGCGTTCAAGTATTAAAGCTGACATTAAGTCCATAACGACTTTGTCCTGAAGATGTTCACGAAACTAGATCTTTTGCAAATCATAAACATAGAGATGATGTAGATTTTAGAGCCTTCATGTGTTGAATTTTAGATCCCATACCTCAGATGCAATGAATAAAAACAAAAGAGGAAGAATAAAACAAGCATGCAATTGAAACTTCCAACTAACTCAAAAACTATCATACTGCATGCAGCTGAGGCATCCAAAATCATCTAGATGATGTAAATTTGCTAGACAGCGTGACACTTGGCACTGTCGATGAGATACCAAGAATTTGGTGATTTATGTTATTCCCGTGACACTAGATAAGTATTTTTCTAAATTCTACTGTCCCACTTATCAGAACACACATTATAAGCAAAACCAGGCATGCGTAAAGCTTTCATTCATTAAACATGTTTGCAACCACATCCCATTTCAGCTGCCAATCAATGCCATGATGGCTTTAAGATGACAAATAAACCATTGCTAAATTTGTGGTTTGGAATGAATCAGAAATGGCTGAAACTTGAAATTGTTGAGGTGGGTGACCAGTATAAACTCGAGAAAGTTTGTTTCCCCTCATTGTCTGAACTAGTCATTAAAATTTGTTACTCGTGTTCCTGAGCGGTGTTTCTAGGGTGAAAATGGTCATTAGATTTTCAACATAATTATACAAAATCTGAGTGGTGTTTCAAATTTTGAGCCTTGCAAATTCATTTTTTGTTGTCAACGGGCTAAGATTTCGATGGTAAATGGAAAACAGGAGCATGTGGAAGCTGCCCTAGCTCAACAACTACCATGAAAATGGGGATTGAACGAGTACTGAAGGAAAAATTTGGAGATACAGTCAAGGATATTCGCCAAGTGTATGATGATGACCACACAAGTGAGACAACGGTAGAGGTAATTTTTTGCTAACCTGAGCTACGAAGGGAGTAAAAACAATACCAAAATATCTTGAATTTCATCCATTGATAGCAATAATATGAACTACGTTGAAATTTGGGAGTGATTAGAATTTCCTGCTGTGTAAATGTAGGCGGTGAATGGCCATCTTGATATATTGAGGCCAGCCATAAAGAACTATGGTGGGAATGTGCAAGTATTATCTGTTGAGGGTGGCGATTGCCTTGTAAAGTATGTAGGGCCTGACTCCATTGGATCTGGAGTCAAAGCAGCAATAAAGGAGAGGTTTCCAGACAATACAAATGTTGTGTTTACTGGTTAGGCTGCTGTCAATCTTGGAAGCTCAGCGAAGTAGATGACTGGATTTTCGAATATTTTTCATGAGGGGGATATATTAAGCGCCACGATAGAACTTCAATTCCAATGTCTCAGTGTATTTAATTAAATTAAATTCAAGTTTCTTCTAGATACTGTTGCAATTAATTGATCTTCTGTTGATAATTAAGATTTTCTGAAATAACATAGTTTAGAATTGTAGAACCAAATTGGTATTTGTACTTTAGTTTTGGTTTGATTACATAGCTTCAATGGCTGGTTCTAGTTTTAATTTTTTAAAAATCATAAGAAGCGGTTTAGTCCCATGATCACTTTAAAATCAAACCAATCCGATTCATGACCACCTCTATTGACGTTAACACCGTTCAAAAATCAACAAGGGAATATGAGTCAGGGGGTAGCACTCTCGGCATGAAGTTTGGTGGTATTAATTGTACTATTTCAGTTAGGATTTCATTGTGAGAGTGTGAAAGCATTGTAGACTAAAGTGATTCAGAGCTCTATAATTATTGCTTCAGTGGTGCTAGGGACCCCCAGTGGGGGGCACCCCCAGCACCCCCAGTTGGCCAAAAACAATTTTTTTTTCCTTTCCTTCCAATCACGCGGTGCCATGTGGCACTGGGGGTCATTGGGGGTCACTGGGGGTGGGGGTCTCAAGCTTTATTCTTATTGCTTAGAATGGATTTGATCTCCTATCATTCGTTGACGTAGACACATTATTGAACCTTGTATACATATCTTATATATCTTCTTTGCAATTCGATTCTAGGCTTCTTAGCTTGACAAAGTTTGGTTTTGGTTCTATATTATTGGGAACTACAAAGAGCAGTTAGGTCGCATGTTTATCTTAAAACCGAATCAATCTGATCAATGGAGACTCCAACTGAGGTGAACACTGTTCAAAATCAATAAACAAAGAAAGGATATTTTTGAAACTTTACAATAAAATGCATCAAAAACCTTAGTTTGAGGTAACAACTTTGGCCCAAAGTCACTTAGCTTTTAGCATAAGATTGTGACAATTGTGTTTGTGTATAATGGATTTGATCTACTTTGACTCAAAGACGTAACATATTATCAAGTTACGTATATATTGTATTCTGTGTACTTAGTTTATTTATATTACTACTTTATAATTGGATTGGTTTCTTGAACAGTCCATTGGACTGGATATTAGCATAACAAATGACATGAGGTTAATAGAATAATTCAGCAGAAATCATCAAAGAAATCAATGTAACGACGTTCTTACTGTCAATCACCAAAACGACATCAGTAATATTCCATCAATTCTTCTTTCTCTTTTGTTTTCTTTTCCCCTACTAGAACGGCAAGACATGAGCTAATTCTCAAGTCCTTGTATGATTATTTTGTTTGGCCTTAATTAAGCCCATTGGGATTAAAAGATAAGAAAGCACTAACCCCCAGTTAAGATTAAGTCCAAAGGCAAACATCTAATTAAGTAGGATCCAACTAACTAGGTCAAATAGTCTAAAGACCACAACATACATTCTTTTCTTGTTCTTTTATTTCCTTGTGTTCTCATATTGAGAAAGAGTAGCGATATATAAATAGTATTTTTATGCGGAATGATGTGTCTATTTTGGCTTGTAGTTTCAAAAGTATTGTTGATATATCGTTTGAATGAGTTTCTTTGTATGAAAATACTTGGGTTTGTTTGGAAAATGGCTTTTTGATTTTTTTGATTAAAATATAAGGTGAAAAAAATTAACATATTTGAAAAGGATTTTTTAAATTTTTACGAAAAAAATATGTAAAAAGTAGTGTAAATGGGAATTTTTTTTGACTTTGTAAAGTGAATGAGAAGAAATATTTGACTTTTTTTGTATGAGTTGAAAACTTTTTGACGATTTTAATAACTTTTTGACTAAAATAGTTACTTGCCAAACGCAGCCTGATCGTAAATCATTTTTTGTTAGAAAAATAGGCAGAGAAACTCCAATTAAGACTTGGTCCAAGGAAGAACTTCTAATTAATAAAGTCCAACTCCAATTCCAACTACATATGGCAAAGGTTTTTTTGTTATTGTCATTTGTTCTTTGGCTTTACTTGTTTGTCTCCTTCTCATATGTGCTCTTGTGTTTCTTTGTTGGTGCTTAACTGTCTGGTGACTGAGACACTGAAAGTTAAATAACTACTAATTTATTTAATTTTTTTGTACTAAAGAAATTCAACATGTTACAATAATATTTTGAGTTTTGTTGTGTTTCATAGACAATGCTTTTATGTAAAGTGACTGAGACTATTGTTAGATGAAAGGATTCACATTGTTGTTCAAATCGAATTTCTAGTCATAACTGACGGTTGCATCTGATTTTTTTTTTTTATAAATTTTTTTATATGATTTATTTACGTTGTGTTTGGTTAAAGGATTTTGGAAGGGATTTGAAAAAGAAAAAAGAAAGGTAGGTGAAATGTAAATAAAATATACTTATTTTTCACCTAATTTCACACACTTTTTCCTTTTCTCTTTCTATATCTATTTCCAAATCTCCCAACCAAATACAACAAACTTTTTGATATGAGATCACAAAATTATCACTAATTTAAACTCACCACTATTATCGTTTTCGACTTCCTTCCCTGTTTAAGCATAATTTCTCTAAAAATTAATAAGTAGTATATAGTCTAATGACATGTTTAATGGTTCCACTTTGGCTTCCTAAACAATACCAAAATATCTTGAATTTCATCCATTGATAGCAATAATATGAACTACGTTGAAATTTGGGAGTGATTAGAATTTCCTGCTGTGTAAATGTAGGCGGTGAATGGCCATCTTGATATATTGAGGCCAGCCATAAAGAACTATGGTGGGAATGTGCAAGTATTATCTGTTGAGGGTGGCGATTGCCTTGTAAAGTATGTAGGGCCTGACTCCATTGGATCTGGAGTCAAAGCAGCAATAAAGGAGAGGTTTCCAGACATTACAAATGTTGGTTTCTTGAACAGTCCATTGGACTGGATATTAGCATAACAAATGACATGAGGTTAATAGAATAATTCAGCAGAAATCATCAAAGAAATCAATGTAACGACGTTCTTACTGTCAATCACCAAAACGACATCAGTAATATTCCATCAATTCTTCTTTCTCTTTTGTTTTCTTTTCCCCTACTAGAACGGCAAGACATGAGCTAATTCTCAAGTCCTTGTATGATTATTTTGTTTGGCCTTAATTAAGCCCATTGGGATTAAAAGATAAGAAAGCACCAACCCCCAGTTAAGATTAAGTCCAAAGACAAACATCTAATTAAGTATGATCCAACTAACTAGGTCAAATAGTCTAAAGACCACAACATACATTCTTTTCTTGTTCTTTTATTTCCTTGTGTTCTCATTTGAGAAAGAGTAGCGATATATAAATAATATTTTTATACAGAATGATGTGCTTATTTTGGCTTGTAATTTCAAAAATATTGTTGATATATCGTTTGAATGAGTTTCTTCGTATGAAAGTACTTGGGTTTGTTTGGAAAATGGCTTTTTGATTTTTTTTTGATTAAAATATAAGGTGAAAAAAATTAACATATTTGAGAAGGATTTTTTAAATTTTTACGAAAAAAATATGTAAAAAGTAGTGTAAATGGGAAAAATCTTTGGCTTTGTAAATTGAATGAGAAGAAATATTTGACCTTTTTTGTATGAGTTGAAAATCTTTAGACGATTTTAATAATTTTTTGACTGAAATAGTTACTTGCCAAACGTAGCCTGATAGTAAATCATTTTTTGTTAGAAAAATAGGCAGAGAAACTCCAATTAAGACTTGGTCCAAGGAAGAGCTTCTAATTAATAAAGTCCAACTCCAATTCCAACTACATATGGCAAAGGTTTTTTTGTAAGGAAATCACTTTTTATTTTTGCTTATTTAAAAAAATAAAAAAAACCTACATTTCATTACATATACAATATTAATAATAATGGAAGGTATTGTCCTCTGGTTTTCATGTTCTATATATCGGCCGGCTTTGTCCATGGAAAGTAAGACATGTATTCCTAAAATTTAGGATTGAGAATGATCGATCAATAATATGATATTTGGAAAATACTATTCACTTTATTTTTGTATATATTTTATTATTTTATTTATATATCTTTTACTCATAGTTTTATGTGTGAATTTTGTAAGTCATTAGGTTTAAAGAGCAAAGTTATTGAAAACAATTTTCCTGTGTGGTTAATGTTAGCAATCTCTAAAATAACACTTTTAAATATATTCACATGACAAGAGATCACATCTAAGTTAATTAATTATTAAATAAAATAACATGCAAGAGTCCATGTCATTGGAGATAAATTTAGAAGTCTTAGCATTTCTATTTCCATGCCATACAAATTGACGGAAATGCTAGAAGTCTTTAAAGCATATATTTAAATTCAACTGTAATGATGTGGTACGGGGTTGATATGGTTGATTTGAAAACCAATCAATAATTGCAATAACTTAAATATAATGGTTCATATTATGATGTGTATTTAAGAATCATAATTTAAAAGTTTCAAGTTTCTTTTTAAGTTGGAATTTATTTGTTGAGTATTATTAAAATTTGTTGGATGGGTTTTTTTTATATATTTTTTTAGGGGCAAAAGGTGGAGGACCAACGACATATTTTGCATTGTTGACAATAATTCAATAATTTCTCACTATTAATTCTCTCACTATCAATCTTTTCATTATGAATCCCTTCCATTCTATCTCTAAAAACAAACGGACCTATGTGCTCCAAAACACACTAATTTAATCCTAACCATTGTTTTCCTGATCCCTAAAAGTCTGGACTGTAGACTTTTTCTGCAATAATTGCACACATTTTTTAAATGAGTGTTTTTTTGAAATTTTTAAAGTAAGAATTACTATTTAATTCCACGCAGTCGGTTACAAAATCGAATCAGAGGGGACAAATAGCCGTAAATCATAATTATTTTTCTTTTTAAAAAAAAAATTATTTTTAGTGATTTTTATTTATTTATTGTTGAAATATGTTATTTTCATAACCTAGAAAGATTTTAAAAATAATTATAAAAAAAACTTCAAAAAAGTGTTTTTTAAAAAAATAAAAGAAAAAAATCCAACTTTTTAACCTTTTTTTTTCTTTCTTTAATGAAGTTTTTTTATTTTATAAAAATGATTTAATTTTTGTCAAGGATATCTAAAAGTGACAAATAAAATAAAATAAATAGCTGTTAAACGTCACGCTTCACTTTTATTATAATCATTCATTTTCTTATATGATCATAATCTGATCACTTGACTAAGTAATTTCAATCAATTTAAAATTTTACAAAAATAATCAATGTGTTTGGTTTGAGTTTTTTGAATTAATTTTTTTTGTTTTTGTATTTTTTTATTTTTAGTAAATATTATTTAAATTTTAAACATTTTTTTTTACTTTTTAGATGCACCTTACTTAGATGTATCTAAAAAATAAAAAATTTGTGAAAAAATATTTTAAAAAATTAATAAATACATAAAACTACAAAAAATGTACTGAATTATCATACATATTTTTTTGTATTTTGGATATTTAGTGAATTTTTAAAAGGTTTTCTTCACAAATTTTTTACTTTTTAAATACATCTAAGTTAAGTATGTCTAAAAATTAAAAAAAATTGCTTAAAATATTAAAAAAATCAGTAAAAAAATATGAAAAATAAAAATATAAAATTTTCTGAAAAATATTTTTTAAAAAGTGAAGCCAAGCATAGTATGCACTAACAATTTGAATATTAAAAGAGGCCCAAGATAAACCCATACCAAGAAAACTAAACTGCAGATCAAAGTTCATTTATATGGACGAGAGAAACCTGGTTTTTATGAATATATACTTTTGAGTTAAATTAAGGTCATTCATTGAGTTACAAATTATACTCAATTAAAATTTTCACTGGTTTGTTTTTATTAGAGTAAATTACAAACACATTTTTTAAGATTTACTTAAATTACAAATTACTCCCTGTGATTCTAAGAATTATATTATGCACTTTAAGATTTCTAATTTCATAATAAATAGGTCATGTTATTAATAAACCATCAAGTTAATTAACAGTTTTTAATATTGTTAAAATTTTATTTCAATTAATAATTCATATAATTTTATTATTATATAGGTGAACAGTTAAAAATTGTACTTTTTCAATTAATTCTGTTAAATGAAAAATTTTGACAGGAAAGTATTTGTAATTTTTCAAACCACAAAGAGACAATTCATATTTTAAATAAACTTCAGAGATGTATTTGTAATTCATCATTTTTATTATGAATTCCTCGTTTGCACAAGAACACGTTCAAAAGCAGACATATAAATCCCAATTTTAGATTTTTTTAAAGCTTTGAAATGACCAAAATATACGCAATTTCTTACCTTTTGCAAATGATTAAATCTAGTATGTTTGACTGATTTTAAGCTTTGAATTGACCATCATTTTAGTTGTTGCAATTCTTTTCGTTTCTTTTTTATGTTTATAATGGATCACATGTATAGATTGGACCAATTGATGCATTGGCCATGGCCTAAAAAACATTTTAAAAGGTTACAAAGGTCTACTTATTTAATGGTTATGTCTGAATTTTATAGTTGACTTCGTAATGAAATTTATTTTTGTTTAATCTTCTTAGTCTGTATTGGCATGAGACTCTTGTTTTTTCTTTATTTAAATATGATTGAATCACTATTTAATTTGTTATTTCATTTTCAAATTAATTTTAACTTACGTCAAAATTGAAGGTAAACTAATATTTAATAACAATTTATGAAGTAAAAAAGAAAAGTAATATGATTAGCCCACATATGTATATATAATTTTAGGATCTAGATTGTTTTCTGTCCAAACCTACATCCATCAATTCTAAATTCTATTTCAATATTAGTGTGCATTCGACCATATCTAGAATGAATAATTATTTACCTATTTCAATTTTATGTAATTGTTCTACTTATATAACATAATCCATATATATATGTATATATATATTAAGTTATATAAATAAAATTTTCTTATGAATGCAGTGGAATCAACATTATTAAATGCACACGTAACCTATTATTTTATATTGAGTCTCTCCCTCTCTCGTGTATATAAATACCAAAATGTGTGTGTGTATGTTTCAAAGTTGGAACATAAAATCCATTCTTCAACCTTCCATAATCTTTCTTCTTCTATCACTATATATATTTGCAGATATTTAAGTATGGTTGTGTCATCTCCGACTCCATTTCGGACCAAGAAGGCAAGGGCTGTGGGAATTCCCATTATTGACCTCTCTCTTGAGAGGTCTGTGTTGTCTGAGAAAATTGTGCAGGCATGTCAAGACTATGGTTTCTTCAAGGTGGTCAACCATGGTGTTCCCATGGAGATCATTGCAAGAATGGAGAAGGAAGGGAGTGATTTTTTCGCAAAACCCGCTTCGGAGAAGCAACAACAAGCGGGGGGCCTGCCTAGTCCATTTGGTTATGGCTGCAAAAATATTGGCTTCAACGGTGATGTGGGTGAGCTTGAGTATCTTCTTCTTCACACAAACCATCTCTCCATTTCTGACATATCCAAAGCTATCTCCTCTATTAACCCAACAAAGTTCAGGTATTATTATTATTATTATGTTACTCATATGTCTATGTCAGTGGCAGGAAAAAATTTAAGTATATTGAGTGACATTTTGGAAACATAGTAAAAAGTTATTTTTTGGACAAAATGTCTAAAAGTGTGACTGTCAAAAACGCAACAAAATATCTTTGGGAAGTGCCAAAAATACAATCCTAAAATTACAAATTAGGGTCTATGAAAAAAAAATAAAAAAATAAATTTCTTATGTTAGATAAGGGTATTTTGGCCATTTTAATTTGGTTTGACATCATAAATAAATATTAAACTAAAAAGCAAAAAGTAAATTTTTTACCAATTTCTCAAATCACTTCCAAAAAAACTAAAAAGCTTGATAAAAAGTCAAAAACTAACTTTTTACCAACTTTCCAAAACAACCCAGAATTTGATCACAGAATAATCAGTGATAATTTTCTTGCTTGATATGAGTCCTATTAAATGCGTGTCATTTATTTCATTTAAAAGGATTGCCTCAAGTGTTATAATCAAATTTTCATGAATCTAGAAGAACATAATTGTTATATAATCTTGTTCATGGCTATCCCATTCTTACTTGGTATGTATATCTCTCTATTGTAATTTTGGAGTTCTCTTAATTAAAATAGAAATACTATGAATCTTACTTAAATATTTTAATTTATCTTAAATGAGAGCTGTGTGATTGAGATTAAATTAGTATAGTGTAAAATATATATGTAAAATAAATTTTAAATCATAAGATGACAATTTTAAATAATTTTTAAATAATTAAATTTAAATTTATAATATTAACGGATAAAAAAAGCAATTATTTACACGTTGACTAAAAGTCATCAAATAATGTTGAAAAGAAGCCACTTGTCTATTTTCCGTTTCAACTTATTTTCAATGCCAATAGTTATTGTACTTAATATTCCAATGTACCAAAAAAAAAAAATAAAAAAATAAAATAGTTATTGTACTTCCACGTCAATTGATTATAAAATTAAACACAACCGTTTTACATAAATCAAAGGCATGAGTTAAATTGACAAAATAAGCACAAAAATAAGGCCTTGTTTGGGGATTTGTTCTTTTAGCCAAAAGGTAAAAGTCATTCAAAAAATTTAAAAGTTAACAATTTTAAAAAGTCAAAAATTATCTTTTCTTCTACTTTTTACACATTTTTTCATAAAGAATTAAAAAATCGTCTCAAACATACTATTTTTTTTTACATCATATTTTAATTTAAAAGTCAAAAAGTTACTAAAAAAGTATGTTCCCAAACGAAGTCTAAATTAACAAGACAAAATATCACATTTAAAGTATAATTATTTTATTTTTTCTTTTACAACCATCACATTCAAAATAAAATAAAAAATTCTTCCCACAAGGAGTTAATTTAGCTAATAGCTAATTTAGTTCTTTCCAAACGAAGGCTTAATTAATGGCGTAGCAAGAAACTTTACAGATGGCACATTATATTAATCCACCTTTATTAAACGGTAGAGTGACAAATATCTAATTTCAATTGCAAGAATAATACTATACGTACCAATTGATATATTAACTAATGTACTAATTGATGATTTGACATAATTTAAGAGGTTTTTAGAATTTGTAATGTAATTAATGAGTGAGATCAATAATAATGCCATAACTAATATTGATACATTAATTAATATATTAATTAGTGCATGTAACACTACCGCATCCTATTTGTTCGGTGTATTAGGTGACTAAAAGGCTAATTAATATTTTTTTCTGTATTGGTGTCAGTTCCTTACAAATGGACGCTATATTGTGTTCAAGAAAAAAATCTATAAGACATTATCTCTACCCATTCCATGATCGTAGCCTGAAAGCAAACTAAGTCCAAAACATAGTCAACTATGCAAGAGAAACAGTAATCTAACAACCATAGTTAATAGAATATTAGTAACATCACACTTCTGAGAAATCATAAAAAAAAAAAAAAAAAAAAAACCTTAATCCCATTTTGAAAGGTTCATCATCAACTATATAAAAATTATAATTTTTTTTTTTGAAATCTAAAAATAATTAAGAAATTTGTAAATTTCTTAAAGATATGATAATTATAGATCAGTAATTTTCAACTTTGATGATTTTTCCAATTCAGTATTCTAAAGAAATAAAATGAAAATTTCAATTTCATTTATAAAATAAAATGAAAAAATGAAAATATCATTATGACAGAGGGCGACGTCATATTTTTTTTGCAATGTATAGGAGGTTTAGGGCTAGAGCAGTAAATTATCCATAATTTATAACTAGCATTTTATTTAAAAAGTTCATGTTTTGCTCGAAGCGTTCCAATTTAACTTAACTCTTATATGATGATATCTACATATAAAATGAATATAAATTATATCTTAATTTTTTTAAAATAAAATTTTGAGTAAAAATTATGATCACTAAGCATTGTTAGCCTAAGAGATATTGAATAGAGAACACTATTCATTCAACAATTGAAATCTCAAAACTAGAGGTTTTGGACTAGTGGTTATATAGCACCATTTTTTAGTGTGAGATTTTGAATTTAACTTCTATATAGGGTTATTAAACGAATCAAGTACTTGAATTCGACTAATTAAAAATTCATTTGAGATCGATTCGTTATGTAAAGAAATTGAGTTTGAACACAAATTTAAGCCTGTTAAGTTTTCAAACAAAGTTTGAACAACCTACTACACTGCTTTATAAACTTATATGTACTACAAAAAATTAAATTACGTGAGCTCGTCTTGTGTTTGGCTCATTAAAAACTCGTTTGTGATCAAATTGTTACATAAATAAGCTAAGTTTGAATATAATTTTAAGCTTGTTAAATTATCAAAGCAAGTTTGAACAACTTACAACTTGGCTCATTTTCAGCCATACTCTTATGAAAAGAAATTTAATACAATATGTGATGGCATTTATCTGTCCCCATTGTCCCCATTATAAAAGTTATACGTAATAGTTAATTATTTTTTTTTCCAAGTTTACCTATTATAAAAAAAGAAAGAAAGGAAATCTCATATAAGATCGTGAATTTTTTTAATTTTATTTTATTCAAAGGTCATGAGCTAAACATGAATTATTACCTGAAAAGTATACAAGTTCATGTGAGTTTATTTTATTTTATTTTATTTTTTGATTCAAAGGCCATGAGAGTTTTTTCTGAAAGGGAATTATTACCTGAAAAGTATACAAGTTCATGTGAGTTTATTTTATTTTATTTTATTTTTTGATTCAAAGGCCATGAGAGTTTTTTCTGAAAGGGAATTATTACCTGAAAAGTATACAAGTTCATGTGAGTTTATTTTATTTTATTTTATTTTTTGATTCAAAGGCCATGAGAATTTTCTCTGAAAGGGAATTATTACCTGAAAAGTATACAAGTTCATGTGAGTTTATTTTATTTTATTTTATTTTTTGATTCAAAGGCCATGAGAATTTTCTCTGAAAGGGAATTATTACCTGAAAAGTATACAAGTTCATGTGAGTTTATTTTATTTTATTTTATTTTTTGATTCAAAGGCCATGAGAATTTTCTCTGAAAGGGAATTATTACCTGAAAAGTATACAAGTTCATGTGAGTTTATTTTATTTTATTTTATTTTTTGATTCAAAGGCCATGAGAATTTTCTCTGAAAGGGAATTATTACCTGAAAAGTATACAAGTTCATGTGAGTTTATTTTATTTTATTTTATTTTTTGATTCAAAGGCCATGAGAATTTTCTCTGAAAGGGAATTATTACCTGAAAAGTATACAAGTTCATGTGAGTTTATTTTATTTTATTTTATTTTTTGATTCAAAGGCCATGAGAATTTTCTCTGAAAGGGAATTATTACCTGAAAAGTATACAAGTTCATGTGAGTTTATTTTATTTTATTTTATTTTTTGATTCAAAGGCCATGAGAATTTTCTCTGAAAGGGAATTATTACCTGAAAAGTATACAAGTTCATGTGAGTTTATTTTATTTTATTTTATTTTTTGATTCAAAGGCCATGAGAATTTTCTCTGAAAGGGAATTATTACCTGAAAAGTATACAAGTGAAATTGACAAGAGATCTTGGTAAGTTCAAAAAGAAATTAAAGAAAAAAAAATTAAAAACCTTGTAAATTACTTATAGATCAAAATAGCCAAAGACTCGGAAATTATATCTTGAATCTTGCTCTGAAAATTAACGTAGGATTTAAATTTAACTATTATGTGGTAGGAATTATATTTAAAATGAATTTAAATGATATTGAATTTTTAAAATAAATAATATTACTGATTATAGGTACATTTGTCCTGGGTAAAGCATTGCACATGCATTGCTTCAACTTTATGGATTATTTCAAGTCCATGCAGTGATGGCATTGGAAGAAATTGAAGTGGTAGTACAATAACAGACTCAGTAGAAACAAATCAAAAACTTAGTACAATAATAGTGTCAGAAACAAATCAAAATCAAAATCAAAGATAGAGATTGAGCCTCCATGCATTGCGTTATGTGTCCTTTACCAATTTTGGATAGGGAGAGGGGGACCTCTGCCTTGAACATTTTTTTCCAATTAAAGAATTTCCAAGCTGGCGATGATCATGAAAATACTGATATTTTTCTCAGCTTAAAATCCCTCAGATATTTTATCGTCTTCTACAATTCTCCTTTTTATTTTACTAATTTAAAATAAAAAAATAAATAGGAGAGCTCAATTCATTGTGATAATCTTTTATAAGCATAATTATAAGAGTTCCTATTTGCAAGAGATTCAGAACTAGAACTAAAACGAGACGAGGAGAGGCATGGCTGGACCCCTAGTCCCACCAACATCCTCCTGAAGAGCTAAAGTTGGGATATGAGAATCACATCACCCTCACAAAGACTCGAACCTAAAGTTATAGGTTGGCTAAACTAACGTGATGCTCAAAGAGCCCTATGTTACGATAATAAAATATAATCCTTTTGTAGTAGGGCCCGTCACTTTGTGTTAGTATAAACTATGTTAACATATGTGGTATTTAATATTTTGTTATTGAAGTATTAGGCTTTTGGAGTAAAATTATATGACAAGTAGCACATGACACTCTAAAATACCTCAATAATTTTATGTGACATAGAGGCTGAGAAATTATCAATATTTCCTATTCTTCCTATGGTGTAGAGTTTGAAATGAATTTTATATTTGACAGTTGTGCTGTGAATGATTATATACAAGCAGTTAGGAGCTTGACATGCGAGATGCTAGATCTAGTGGCTGAAGGTTTATTTGTTCCAGACAAATCCGTCTTCAGTAGGCTTATCGGAGACGTCCATAGTGATTCATGTTTCAGGCTCAATCACTACCCTCCTATGGAAAACTCTAGGGAATGGGATCCATCTCCAAAGCTTAATGCAAACACTCGTATGGGGTTTGGAGAGCATTCTGACCCTCAAATCTTGACCATCTTGCGATCAAACGATGTTGAAGGCCTTCAAATTTGTTTACATGATGGGTTATGGGTCCCTATCACTCCTGACCCCACTGAATTTTGCGTGTTTGTAGGTGATGTTTTACAGGTTAGTATATATATTCATTTTTATTATTTTACCCATATTCAGTATGCAATTATTATTTATTTTTTATACAGAAATTATGTTTGTATGACATTTTCATTAACTCCCATTAAGCTTGACAAGTCAAAACTATGAAACTAGAAAGAAAACAACACTCCCAAAATGAAATGTATGAACTAAATTTATTTTAAATATGATTCATACTACATTAATATAAACTTATATCATATATTTTATTTTCGGGATACTTTTTCATGGCACATATCTTTTCCAATTTTGTTATTGACATATTCCTAATTGATGCTGGCAATGAAAGGCTATGACAAATGGAAAGTTTGTGAGCGCAAGACACAGAGTAATAGTAGCAAACTCAGTGAAACCCAGAATGTCAATGATATATTTTGGGGCTCCACCCCTTAATGCATGGATCTCTCCTCTTCCAAAGATGGTATCACCCCCAAAACCAAGTCTCTACAAACCGTTCACTTGGAGTGAATTCAAGAAAGCTGCCTACTCTCTACCTTTGGAAGATTGTCGTCTCAACCGTTTTAAAGATTCTCTTCAATTAAGTCTAAGAACACAAAAACTATAGTCACAAAATATGACACATAATTTATATTAATGGATAAGATTTTTTAAAAGTGGATCTAATCCCTTCATATCAAATTCTGTAAAATTTTATCTATTTATGCGTATTCTGTGTTTAATTTTTACATTCATAACTGAATTATATATATGTGTGTGCGCGCACGCGCGTGTGTTTGATAGAAGTTAAAGAAAGGGTGTGTCTGAATTATGATGGCAGGGGAATTTTTTGTGCTCCAAGTGCTTCGGCTGTGTATTTATGTGTTTTTTTCATTATGCTTCAAGTGGGAAATGATTTGTGCTTTTACATTAAAAAAAACTATAGTGTGAGTTTTCAATACGTACAATGACCTTTTGCGTTGGATTTCGCCCTTAAGAAAATGCTTTTGTTGCTCCTCCTTTCTTCTTCTTCTTCTTTTTTATTTATTTTTTATTTTTATTTTCTTTTGGTTTTTTGTTTTCTCATTTGGTCAATAAATTTGAAGCACAGTAATGTTATGAACTAAGAGAATTTTGTTTTTTTTTCAAAAAAAACTCTGAAAAAATGAAGTGTTGTTGTAATTGTTGGGTATACCTCCTTATTGGAGTGTGGGACCCAATTGATTTATTAAAAGAGTTTTAATTTGGCTTGGTTTAGTATAATATATTTTTATATATTATATTTGAGGAGACCCAATTCAATTTGGATACAATTAGGATTTAATTATAAAAATCCAAGATTCACAACATTCACCCTCACAATATATTG